AATGATGCAATACGTGGAGCCGGGCTGCGGGGGCAAAGCAAGGATGGCAGCAAAAAAATGACTCTTTGTGGGGGTGGGAACTGCTTTGCTCTTGTAAGGACTCCGGCCGCGAGGCACCGCTGTTTGCCCGGCTGGTGTGTCTGGAGGAACTGCTCCTTTTGCTCATGTTCACGGTCAAGGTCAAGAGGCACCGGCTGCGGCGCCAGAACACGCGACTCCCCGGGACCTCAAGTACCCGCAGGCACAGGAGGAACAAGCGCTTCGCCTCCCCTCAGCATCCGGGAACTCCTCTTGCCCTCAACTCGGAAACTCCACCCTTTTTTACGTTAGCGTGGCGTTTAGCCAATCGCTGCGCTGTTCCGGTTCCGGCGTCCGACGCCGTATCTTAGCTACCGGGACGGGCCGGACCAACAGGTTGGAGTTTGCGGGGGGGGGACGGGAACTCCGGGAACGGGGTGTTCGCTCCACAGAAGGACGTCTGGGTGCGGGGAGGGGGATCCAGTGAGCGGTCGCTGCTTTGTCCATGGTTTGCCCCGGCGGAAGCGGCGGTGGCTCCGGATACGCTTGTGGTGACGCGTCGCGCTCCTCGCCTCCCCCCCGCGCTGAGCAGTGGAGAGGTCCGAGGGGGCGGGGCCGGCATTTCGGTTGGCGGCGGCGGCGGCGCTGCCCCCGCGTCCTGTTCGGCGGCGGGCCAGGAGTGATGCCACGGCCTACGTGAGTGACGCCGCGGCCCTGCCCACCCCGGTCGAGAGTCGCTGGGCTTCACACCGGGCTTGCGCGGGGCGGGGCCGAGGGGTGGCCGGGCTCTGGGCAGCGGCCGCACCGCGCCTCTGCGCACCCTGCCGCCCGCTGGGGTCCGCACCGTGTGGGCTCCTAAATGAGAGAGAGAGAGAGATGGTTATACACACGTCTGTGTGTGTCTCTCTCCATATGTGTGTGTGTGTGTGTGTGTGTGTGTGTGTGTATATACACACACATATATACAGACACTCACACAGTATACACAGGTATACATACACGTGTGTATGTTGTAACCCCGCAGCTGGTCACTCTTGGCCTTGTCCATGAACACTAGCAAAAGGAGCATTTTCTCTTAAATGAGCAGCTCCTTCTCAAGATACAGTACATCAGCCCGGCAAACAAAGCGGTCCCTGGCTTTCCTACAAGAAAAAAAAAAGAAGTTCCCAGCCCCACAAAAAGGTCATTTTTCTCTTGCCATAATTGATTTGCCTGTGCGGCTGGGCTCCATTTATTGCACCATTCACCTGTTAATTGTGTAATAAATGTAACGTGTAGCAGAGTCCTGAGAGGTGTGTATATGCATGCACTTGCACGTGCATATGTGTTACATTTTTTGGTTCTTCTTGATTCGGTTCATAAAGAAGCAGGGCTGGAAGGGGCCTCCAGAGAGCACATCTATACACAACACGTGTGTGTGTGTGTGTGTGTGTATACACACGTATATATACATACATATGTAAACACCACCATGTATACACACATATACATATACATGCTCTTGTATGTGTGCACATACACACAAGTGTGTATATGTATATGAGTGTGTATACATGGCGGGTGTTTACATGTGTATATATATATACATGTGTGTACACCCCCCCCCCACAAGCTTTCATGGGCTGAAGCTCAGCCTCATGAGATGCTATGAAAGGATTTGCCGAAAGCAGTTGCCAGAATACTGCCGCAGCTGCTCCTGGAGCTTTCTTCTTTGCAGACGCCAACATGCAGTGCTCTCTGCATTTGTTCTCTGGCTGCATTTTCCACACCGTGTAATCGTGGGTGTTCTCCAGCTAGAACAAGTTTGGACTTTATTTTCCAGAGTGTGTTTCTTTGAATTCTGCACGCAACTGTTCCTCATTGGGAATCCATCTAGAGATATCCTCATTATTTGTTTTTTGACTGTTCTTGATTTGGTTCATAGAGAAGCTGGGTTGGAAGGGACTTCTAGAGGGCATGTTGTCCAACCCCTTGCCTTAGGCAGGATCACTTCTGTCCAAAATATCCCAGACAAGCCATAATCTCAACTTTACGTACACCTACTGTCAGCCCCAAAACAACAGAGACCTAACAGGTAAAACAGGGGAATCATGATAGCCGATGTCATGCATCTATGAAATATTGTCAATATGTGCTCAAGAGATCTTGGGTGGAGGGCCATGCACCCTACTACAGAGGAAGGTAAAACCCCCCATAGTCTGTACCAATCTGACTATGGAGTAAAATTCCTTCCTGACCCCAGACATGATGATTGGTCTGACCCTGAGTGGAGGGACAAGACCCTCTAGCCAGGATCTTCCAGCTTTGGTCCCAGCAGGAGCATTGGCACATCCGAGTGATCCTGCTCATCACATCAAGAACTTCACCTCCCACACAAGGAGCAAACTGTTAGGAGCGCCGAGAGGGAGTTGGTTTGCACTTGAAGTGTGATGCAGGATAGGACCCCTAGCTTGCCTGTGTCTGGCACTCAAATGTCAGAACTCTGTATCTTCCTACTCGGAGGCCAGTGGTGTGTGAACATTTTAATACTGTACTTGCTGACCCAGTTGGAAGCCTTGAAAGTATTAACTAATTCTGGAAGCAGAAGATATCATCCTGTCTAAAATGTTGATGAGATTTTCCTTACATGTGGTTGTATTGTTTAACAGCTGTGTTTGATCTTAACAAATGGGGTGGTCAGCCTGCAGCACATCTGCCACAAGTGGCACAGGCAGTCTCTGTGGCACATGGCAAAACAGGGAGGGCGCAGCAGCAAATGGGGCAGAAAGCAGAGAACAGAGTAGGGAGCATAGAGTTGGGAGCAGAGCAGCAGGATAGGCAGGGGAAGGGTACTACAGTGGCACTTGGAGGGTGTGGGGAGGAATTTGTGGCATGTGTCCCTTTGTTGTAGAAAGTTTTTAATTGCATGGATGTTATTTTTCTGTGGTCAATATTATAAGAATTATCATAAAAAATAGAAGGATAATTGCTACATATTTACATAAAATAACTGGGAATTCCTTTCTTTTTTATTTAGGATGGTATGTTAGTGAAGAAAACAACATATTTCTTAATTTGTTTCTTGTGAAAGTCTTAAATATGGAGAACTTTATCCTGTATGAAGAGATAGGAAGAGGAAACAAGACAGTTGTTTATAAAGGAAGAAGAAAAGGCACCATTAATTTTGTTGCCATTCTTTGCACTGATAAATGCAAGCGACCTGAAATAACAAACTGGGTAAGAAACATGCTGATGACTATTTTTGGGAGAACATGTAGATGTGAATTTTACAGATAATAAGGTACTACCACGTATTAGTTCACATAAAATTAATTTTTCACAATTTATAATGAAATGTTAAGCTCTTAGGCTTAAAATTCTTGCATCTTAAATTATGATTATTATTCATTTTTCATTGCTCAAGTTTCTTCCTTCAGTTCCTTTTTAGACACAAATTGTAGATGCAAAAAATTGCTTTGCAAGTTAACTTTGTGCTGATCACAGAAGCTGTGGGGGACTGAGGTAGCGCAGGTGTTAAGGCACACAGTTGGCAGCTCGGATACTGCAAGTTTGAGGCCCTAGCAGATTCTGCAAATCTGCTAAATACCTTGTCACAAGGACACGAAAAAGGAAAGGAACAGAAGCTGTCACATCTTCATATCTATATCACTACATTAATGACTGGCTTATGCTTTGTTTATACAATGTGAAAATACAAGGAACTTTTGGTAATCAGTCATTTTTATACCTCTGAAGAGTAAATTTATATATGATGAACACATAAAATTAAGTTATTTTGAATTTTGGTTGATAACAGCTTGACAAGGGGCACATCTACACGTTCATTAATGCAGTGTAATTATAGCACATTAAATTTAGTACCTGTTATTACATCATAATTGTAATTGGTGCTACTGCACATTAGTGCCAGTGCATGTTTTTTTGTGACGCTAATGTGCGGTAAACTAATTTTGCTGCACATTATTGCATTAGCACATTTTTGCCTGCCATGCTAATGCGCAGAAGAGTGAGTCTACTGCACATTTAATGTCTCGTATATGTGCCCAGAGTTCTTTACCAAGAAACATAGTTATGACATTCTGAATTAGGTTGCCGTGTATCAAGTATCTGTACTCCTAAGTTCATGTTTTCTTATGTAATTAAGAAAATGATTATTGAATTACCACAATGTGTCATTGCTTAAATATGCTCAGGTTATTTTGTTTCACTTTGCGACTGGGGTATCTAGCAATTCTGCACATTTAAGCCTCCTCCTTTATTTAAATTCCCTTTAGGTCTTCTTTTTTATTTACATTTCCCTGAAAGGAAGCAGGGAAGGGGGAGGACTTTTAAATTTCTTCTCTCCCTCTTGGAGGTGGAGGTCAAAATCAAGATGTTGCTGTGACAGGTCTTTAGGCATTATATATGGCCACTTTTTTCTTGGTTTGATGAAATTACTCAAGATTGCAAAAGATTTGTGCTGCTTTTCTTCTCAGAGGCTTATGCCTTTTTAACACTTCCAGTTTGTTTGTTTGTTTACTCATATGCCACCTTTCCCAACAAAGGCTCAGTTTCATTGACTTGGAAAATGAGGGTCATAATTTTGACCTGAACTTCTGATTATACAACCAAATAATTATTATAATTATAATTATTTTTTTTCTGTCCTGGTCTTTTTTAAATTAACAATGATTGTTTTACATGAGCTGAACTGGTTTGGGGGACCTTCCTTTGTGTGTGTCTAAACATAGAGCAGTTGAGCAAGTCTATGACAAAAGATACCTTCTATCTCTGAAATTTGAGATGGGATAATTTCCTTTTAAATTATTCAAAATACTTTAACCATTTAATGTTTACAGTGTTAAGAAGTGCTTAAATATTAAAATCTTAAGAGCATGACAAGTGAATCTAGAATTACTTTTTGTTGTAGTATTTTTATTAACTCTTAATACTGCTCTCCAAATAAATACATTCACTTACTCTGTTACAGGTTCGTCTTACGCATGAAATAAGACATAAGAACATAGTAACATTTTATGAATGGTATGAAACAAGCAACCATCTGTGGCTCGTAGTAGAATTATGCACAGGTAAGTGATACTAAATAAGTAAAATGCTGAATAGGAACTTCACAGTATAAATTTGTAACTAAAATATTTACCTAACATATACATTTATTTAATTTTTTTCCAAGTTCTGTTTAACAACATAAATGAAAGAGCAGAAATTTTACTATAAAATTTGTATGAAGGAATCAGTTACAACTTTTGAACTGATTCCTAGAAAAATGCTTCCAGGCAGAATTCTTTTCCATTTCAATGAATATGTTTTAAAAGTTAATTGATGTGAATAATATGATGAGATTGAAAAGGTTAGCAACTGTGCAGGTGCTGGATTTTTCAGAACAATATAAGGTGAATTCTTATAGCAGTGACTTGAACAAGTGGAGTAAGTCTTCCGAGGACTGCCAGCTTGTTCTTTTTTTATATTCCTCCAAGATTTCATGCAATATTAAAAAAGGGAGGGAGATAAAACCTAATAAACTTGTAAATATGACCATATAGAGTATTCATAGGTCTCCTCTACAAATATCTATTGGACAATTACCTGATTAATTGCGCATTTAATTTGAACTGGCTACATGTGCAAATTAACTGTGGTGCCTTAAAAAGGTCCAACCAGCTATAAAGTTATTGCTGGAAAATGTGTAATACTCTTTATAGCTGGTTTGTATCCAGCTTTAATTTGCACATGTAGCTTGTGCTCCCATGGCTCAGAGACCATAGCTGCTATGATCTCTCAGCCATGGGGGCATACCTTGTGCCCCACACCTGGGAGACCAACTGCTGTGATCTTCCAGCCAAGGGGGCACACCATGCACCCTGCACTTGGAAGATTAGCTGCTGGGATCTCTCAGCTGCAGGAGCACCTTGTGTACCCCATACCTGGGAGACTGCACCTGCTGCAGTCTTCTAGCCTCATGGTGCATTGTGCTCCCCCTCACCTGGGAGTCCCTGCAGCTATGGGGGCTTCCAGCTGTGGGAACTTGCTGCTGGCCAGTGCAGGGGTTCCTATTGCTTGTTTTAATGGGATCTTATTTATGATTCCACAGTCACGACTCCTGCCATGTACGTGTGGCATGGCCGAAGGTATGATTTTGTGGATCACGCATTAGATCCCATCATGCATTTACCTGCACCTGTAGAAGGCCCCATATAGTTTTGTGTACATCAAATGGGGATTTGTATGGTGGTATTAAGTGAGTTAAGGCTAGGGATGTGAACGGTTAAACAATTAATCATTTAACTGATAAGCCCAGTGACAACCAGTTATAGCTTGCTGGTTATCGTTTACCATGGGATGGGGTGCAGTCCACTAGGGAAGGTGGGGAAGGGAAGCCAGCCCCAGAAGAAACTGGAAGGTAGCAGGGCAGGCGGGAGGGAACAGTGAGTAGAAGGAGAGGGGGAAGAGGGAGGGGAGATTAGTACATATAGTTAGGCTCCGTGGACTCTGGTGCAGCTGCTTGCAGCCTCCCCACTCCAGCTGGATGCGGCAGCTTCTGTTGCTGCAGTTACCATTGCAGCTGCTGGTGGCATCTGCGCATACCCCCCAGCCAGACCTGCAGCGGCTCTAGGGCCTGTCAGGGGCAAGGTGGATGTAAGGGGGTGCACGGTGGCTCCCTGGGCCTGCAGCTCAGCCTCGTGTTCTGCCTGCTTGTCATGTCCAGGCCTGGTCTCAGAGACTACCTGCCCACCTGCGTAGCTCATCATGATGCATGGTCTTGGGGAGACAGGGCCCCAGGGAGCCGCTTAGTCCCTGCCACACCTTGGGGGAGGGAGGAAATGCTCCTCTGGTGCTGGGCCAGGCAGGGATGCCCCACAGGACTAGCTGGAGCACCCCCATGTGGATCAGGCCAGGAGTTGCCATACTGATTAATCATTTAACCATTATAATTACAGCAGGTTAAACCTTTTTTTAAATCTGTATTTACATCCCTAGCTAAGGTCTCTCCTCTAGGTGAATGAAATCATCCTAACTCTAATTTAAAATGGGGGGATTGAAAAAACTATAGAACTTAACCAAGGTGATTCTTTGAACTTTCCTCATTCTCCTCCTGTTATCTAAATAATAATAATAATAAATGATAAAGCCTTTAAAATAATTTGTTATTACTTATATATTTTGGACTCTTGGTTAGTGTTACTTCCTTGTTTGGAGAGAGAGGGACTGGGCATGGTACAGGAGTTAAATGATCAAATCTGAATGCCTAAAATTGTCTCATAGTATGACCTAAAGAAAAGTAGCATTTTCCTGTACTGTGCTGCTTAAGCTGGTTTTGAATATAAGAGCTTCAGGTTCTGGTGCCAGTGGGGGAAAAAAAAATCAGGCCATATACTTAGCACTCAACTCCATATGGAGAACTAACTTTATATAGCCAGATTCAAAAACTTTGGCCTATCTTTTTAAGTTTAATTAAATGGGAAGTGTATACACTTTTGAGTAGGCCATCTTTAAAATATATATATTGAGAGTAGTCGTCATTCACCTTACCTAACAATCTAACAATTTCTAATGAGGATCAATGCTTTGAAATTACTGTAATTATAACTTTCTTTTAAAAAAATCATAGTTATCATGTTCTTAAGCAGATTGTGCCTGAGACTGGATGACAGGGAGACAGGGTGTGGAAGCTTGGTGGGGAAAATAGGAGGTACTGGATGAAGAATTGGGGAATAATTGAAAGGGATGAACATGGAGATATGATGGAGAACCAATTAAGGGATAGGAAGGATGTGACAGGAGGGGAAACAGGTCAGGCAAGGATTTATGGTGTAAGGGGAGATGGGGAGAGGCACTGCACTGGAGGAGAAGTCTGCATTTGGAGTTTGGGACTGTTAGCCAGTGGGGATACTCAACATAGGTGAGGGGTGATTAGAGGTCATGGTTGGGGATTCAATGAGAATTGAGGAGAGGGTAACTAAGGCTTCGTGGAACATGGAGACTAGAGTAATGGAACTGATGTTAAAGTTGGGAATGGCTGAGAAAGGAGATTAGGACTGGGATGAGAAGACAAGAATGAGTCTTCTAAAAGGGTAAGATTAGGACTTGCTTTACAAGGAAATTAAGGGTGGGATAAAAAGCCTGAGAAGTGCTGACTATAACTGACTAGGTAAAGGGATTCGGATGAGAACAAGTAGCTGGGGGGAGAGACAGATGGGAAGCTTGAAGGGGTTGGAGCAGAGGTGATTATGCTTGTGGTAAATGGACAGAAGAAGTCTGTGTCCTCCAGAGTCAGGAATAGAAACCAAGATTCTTAACTCATTTGCTGCCTGTGAATATTTATGACACCCTTTAAGCTAACTGTATGTTGCATCATTTTCTAATGCTAGTCGACAAAAGATGATTGTCTGCTGTTGATGCCTGCTGAGCTCTTAGCCAGTGTTGCAGAGGTGTCTGTGGTATATGTATGGTAAGGGCACAACTTTGGTGAACCATATGTGCCAGTGTGATGATGTGATAGATTGATTGCATCTTTGGTGTGTGTTCTTTTCCATATTAGAAAATTAAAGTAAAAACAAGTCAGCTTGTGAAGTTGAACACTCAGCATCTAGAAGATGCTAGTATTAAGGTTGCCAGTGAAATCTTGACAGACTTTTCTAGAAACATATTCTTTTTCTGTGTTTTGAAACTCTTGGGTACTAGAGAGTCCAAAGATGAAACTGTTGAAGATGACAATAGTTCTTGCGTGTGTGTGTATTTGTATTTAATGAAATGTGTATAAGTATAGTAGACTGTTAGTCTGTCCTATTTAGGTACACAGCTGACCTGAGTAATTATGTATAAATACATTTCAGGTGGTTCATTAGAAGTGGTTATTGCTCAAGATGAACATCTACCTGAAGATGTAGTGAGAGACTTTGGTATTGATTTGGTTACTGGTTTACATCATATTCATGACCTTGGAATTATATTCTGTGAACTCACACCTGGAAAGGTAACAAGGAATATTACTTGTTTTATAATGGGCATCTCATACTAAAATGTAGTGATTATCTTTAAATTACTACCTTTAAGCTAAGTAACAGTTTGTATTACAGTAGTGTCAAGAAGCTCTGCTTGGCATTGGGGGCCAGATGTGCTGAGTGTTTTAAGTGATTATGATAAGAGTCAAGTCCGTGCTCTGAAGAGCCTACAGCCCAACTCAGGGGTTGGCAACCTACAGCCTGCAGGTCAGAATCAGCTGACAGATGTGGTCCAACCTGCTAAGGTTTGATCCAGCCCGCAGCAGGCATCAGCTGCACGTAGCGGTATTCTGGAGCTGGCAGGAGAAGAGGTTCGTGACATGTGGTGATTGGTGTCAGAATGGAATCTGTAATGCCCTACTGCATCCATCAATTTTCTGATCACCAAATCCACTGTTGTCTGTTGCCACTGGGGATGGTGGTCAATGGCACTCAGCAGTGGGGATGAGCAGTGGTGGCTGTGGTACAGGGATGCAGACTCCATTTTGGCCTAGGGTGACTTTCAGTGTCACAGCACTAGAGGGTAAGGGAATGGCAGCGCTTCTAACAGCTGAGCCCTATTACTTTGGCCAGCCCTTCATAAGAGGTTGCTGACCCCAAGTAAGGTTATTTTCTATCCTTATTATTCCTTTCAAAGATTTCTTACAACTGCAGATGTACATCTGAGAGAGCAATACCTACTTCCAGACTGCAGCATAATAAAATGAGCTAGCTGAATGATCATTCTGAAACCCCTTCTCTTACAGCTCTAGCTGTACTCTCTGTATGCGTCTTATCTACAGTAGGAAACGACATCATTCTTAGCTTATGCACTTTATCTTTCACCCTGAAGAATATTTTACGATTTAAAGACATGTCATTTTGGAAAAAAACCAATGATTTAATCAAAATTAATATTGCATACAGTATAGTAATAGCAGTTGAGAAATGCAGTTAGCTAAACTTCCTTTGGTAACGACTTCCCATCAAGGTCTGAAATGTAGTATAAATGATTAGTATAATGATTTCATAAAACAGGGCTGAAGATCTTTGGCTAGCTTTTGTAGTTATAGTCTGGTAAAACTAATTTTCTTTCTAAAAACCTATATGGCAATCACAATATGACTCTGACAAGAATTTAACTTACTCTTGATTGTAGTCTCTAATATGTGGTCATATTTTTTTTCCTCCCCAAGATTTTTGTAAAATCTGTTACCATGCACAGGTGCATTAGCTGACTTCATAAAAAAATATAGAGTTGCAAATCCGTGGGTGTGAGATTGTAGAGATGCAAACAGAATATAGCAGAGTCAGGATGCCTGTGTCTCCTTTAAAGTCCCTCATTCATTTTTGTAAGACTCTTCCCATGAACATTACCTTCTATGATAGCTTCATTTCCTTGAAACAGTGGCAGTCAACTAATATGGGTACACTAGTGAATGCATGATAGCTGGATAGGAGCTGGATCAAATGTTTGTATTTCACTTAAGTATTAAAGTTGAATAACTTTGTTTCATTCGCAGAAAATGCAAAGCCCCCTTTTCCCCCAGGCATTGAAATAGTAGTTTAAGCCAAAATAAAAAAAGAACTCATTACCTGAACTCACTAAAACAAAAATCCTCTATATACCTACTTGGTGGCAAGGAAGAAAGGAGAGGGAGATGGAGGGGGAGGAATCGCAGGGAAATGAGAGCCTTTTCCTTTTGGGACTGTTATTGTGTCAAATGTTATTGTGATCAAGACTATGTAAATACTTTAATAAATAGTAATAATGAGTGTTGATCCAAATGGCAACTTTAACTAGCTTGATTTGAAACATGAAACCTGAGAGAAGCCTAATTTAAAAAATGAAAACCTGGGTGGTCTATTTTTGGGTTATGTTTTGTTTTTATTTTTAGATACTGTTGGAAGGGCCTGGCACCCTGAAGTTCAATAATTTTTGCTTGGCTAAAGCAGAGGGTGAAAATTTGGAAGAATTTTTTGCTTTAATTGGATCAGAAGAGGGAGGAATTGATGGTAATGAAAGTATTCCACAAAGAAACCTGAAAAACAGACTCAAAGGTATAGTATGTGTTTTATCAGGCCAAATGAACTAAGCCCAATGAGATATAGTGGAAGGTTTTAAAGTTTTAGTTATGTATTGGGGTGGGGGGAGGAGGCAGAGATCTTGTTTTTTGTGCCAGAAATCCTCAGAACAGTGGAATTTTGTAAAAGTTCTTATTGCACACACATTTTTTGTTCAGTGTTGTCAGTGTCCTTGGCTAAGCAGTAGTAAGCATTACTTGCATTTGTATACGGTATAAATCATATAATAAGTTACAGTACCCTGTTACAAAATATGAGAACATTTTATGTGATTGTGAAAAGCCTTTTGTTAAATAAATTGTTTTGTTACTGATCTATCTGTATGTGGAGCTGCTACCCCAAGGGACCTTTTCATCTCTTCTTCCTGTTATAATTAATGCTACTGTCACATAAGTTAGAGTCCAATACATATTGGAAATAAGCAATAATGCACAGGGACATTCAGTTCTGGTAATGAGTCTAGCACTAATCTTAGGGTAAAAATGACAAAGAATATAGCATGAAATAGGATTGTTGATTATCATTTTGTTGGGATGCTGCAGACTTTTCAAAAAACAGAAGCGCGTGATTATTGCTGCTTTTTGGTCAACTTTAATAATTTCTCTGGTTATATGCAACTAAGCAGGTAACTAATAGCCTGATCATAAAAACTCTGTGAGCAGGTCCTGTATGGGACTTTTGTGCATGGAACGGGTTTTGATTGGACCCTGTGTTTTATTTCAGCAAGCCTTTGGAAACATAGACCATTAAAGGGATCTTAATTTGCAGTGTAACAAGAATTTCCTAAGTAAACTATAGAAAAGCAACAGATTTTATAAGCATGGAATCTTGTTTTTCACTTTTATATGAAGAAGCTTTGCTCAGACTCAGAATAACAAAATTGTATTTGCAATAAAACATATAATTAAATGTGTTTTATTATGTTAGTTTTAATTCTGAATAGGTTTCAAATTACCCTGGAACTGAAGTCCAAATCCAAGCGATTAAGTAAGTGACTAAGAGGCAGAGTATATAATACGATAGTGCATGAAAAGGGTTTATTTTGTATTGGTTTATAAAATTCCATCCCCAAAATGCAGCTGTCTCTTATTCATTTACTCCTGGTATTGGGGAGTTCCATAATATTTTCATGATTTTTTTTGTGCTACTTTGGAGTTTTTTAACATATAAAATGTGTAGAGTCATTTCTAAAAATGTTAATCAAATTGATAAGAATTTAAATGGAGCAAGTCTTTAAGTGGCTAGAAAAGTTAAATCTTTGGATTAAGTGTAATGAGGATTTTGTTTTTTGGTGAGGTTTCATTTTTTCCACATTAATATTTGATGCAGATGAATGGAAAAAGTAAAACTGAAATAGCTTTGATTTTATGCATTTCTCCTATCAGCTAAGTGCAAAGAATACAGTTTCATGAATACTTACAATAACAATTTGAACTTCTGTATAGAGGTGCACTGATATATCGGTGCCACATTGGATTGGCACTGATAAAAAGAAAATGAACGTTATCAGCTATCAGCTTTTTTTTGTCAGGGTGTAGCTGATAATGTATCGATAAATATAATATCCCTTCTGGCCGGGGCCCGCAGATGCCATGTGCATGTGTGCAACCACATGCATGCACCAGCTAGTAATGTAGCTAGGCAGCATGGAGATCAATCCCTGCAGTTAAATCTGTGGCGGAGAAGGGGCATGGAGGAGGGAAGGGGCATGGGGAGGAGCGATTAAGGCCCCCATGGTGAGGGAGGGAGTGGGACAGGGCAGTGAATGGGACCCAAGGGCCAGGTCGGGGAGCAGGACAGAGCCGCAGGTGGTTCGTCCAGCATTTAAAAATGGCAGCCGGGGCACTTGAACTAAAGCTCATCAGATGATGAGCCAGTGTGCAGCTCCCAGGTCAAAGGCCGTAGGGTGAAGAGCCCTGAGCCTGCAGCAGGCAGCCCACCTCCTCCCTCACCCTGCTCAGCTCTGGTCTGGCTAAAAGAGTCCTGGTGCTTAAAAATGGTGGCAGCGGCAATTGAACTAAAGATCAAATGAGCTTTAGTTCAAGTTCCCCTGCTGCCATTTTTAAGTGCTGGGATGCCGATCCCTTAGACGAGTTGCCCACAGCTCTGTCCCATTTACTGCCTTGCCCCAGCCCCAGCCCCTGCCCCATTCCCTCCACCCTGGGGGCCTTGATTTGCCCCCCGCCACACCTCTTCCCCGCCACAGACTTACTGGCAGGATTCT